CACGTTTCCGATTGTTGTTGCGAATGTCGGAAATCTGCACCGAAAGATGCGAGACATCCACTTCCATGATCCGGTCCAATAATGTTGTCAACTCGTCAAGCGCTTGAGATCATTTTAGTCTGAACGGTTCAAAAAATATAAGTGGTTGGAGTATTCCGAAAAAGCAGACACAGCGTCTTGTAGATGGTGTTACTAAAGTCGGGAAGCAATGTCAGCAAAGATCACATCTGTGTTTGCACATCCAGCCCTGGGCCTTCACAACTGGAAAAAGCGACGACAGAAGACGGTATTGTCGCCCACGTTGGTCAGCCCTGTTCTAGACATCATAATGCTGAAGCTGCATTTTACGAAGTTTTGAGGGGAAGTTGTGATATTACAATAGCTCTGGAAAGGACAAATGCAAGTGAGAACAGAATAGGAAAAGACTTCGTCAGATTTTGGACGTGTGTTTATTCCTCGCGCAACAAGGTATTGCTTTCAGAGGTAACGACGAGAAGGTAGGTGTTATTAGCAATATCGTTTAACTGAGGGTACTAATTGACACTATTTGGTTCTTTAACAGGATACTTCCTGCAATAGGGGTAATTTTCTGGGAATGCTTTCTTTTTTGGCCCAGAGAATGCCAGATTTTGCGGATTAGATAAACTCTGCCGCCGCAAATGCCAAGTACACATCTCCTACTGTACAACGGAAGCTTATTTATTGCGCGGCGGATCTGGTTTGTGAACATATCGTGGGGAACGAACTTGGACAAAGGTCTTTTTCGCTCCTAGTAGATGAAGCAACATGTGAAGGTGGAAAAGAAAACATGGCTATTGTCGTCCAATTTTTATCCAGACATACTGGTGAAATTCGAGAAGGTTTTCTGGGCTCGGTTCACGTGCGCGATACCTCTTCTGAGCTACTTAAATCTGCGTTGATGAATCATCTCACAATTTGGGGAATAAAAATTTCTCGCTGCCGTGGCCAAGGCTACGATGGGGATTCAAACATGCCTGGTGGATACAATGGGCTACAAAACTTGATCCGAGATACTTGCCCGTACGCTTACTACGTTCACTGCTTCACTCATCACCTTAATTGTGCAATAGTGTCTGTATCAAAACAGACTGTCTCTGTGACGGCGTGCTTCAACATCGCTCAGTCTATTCACGCTACTTGTAGTGCATCATACAAAAGAAAAGACAATTTGTATGATTACGCGCAAGATGAACTTACAGCACCTAATCAGCAGTGGTTATCTGGAAACGGGTCGAGGTAAAAACCAGCCTCTTGCAACTCAGGCTTTTAGTGCCACGCGCTGGAACTGTCGTGTGCGTGCTTTATTACGTATTAGATGGTTGTGGACTTCAATTATTCAAGTATTGAGCCGCGTGGAATTAGATGGAGCCAATCCCGACAAGCGAGCTGATGCAAAGGGCATTATTACAAAAATGCAAACATTTGATTTGGTTTTTCACATGGAAAGTCTCATAGTGGTACTGGAAAAGTAAACATTTTGTCTCAATATCTACAAAAGGATGACATGGATGTAGCCTAGGCTGCAGGATTAGTGAGACAGACACAAACTTTATTCAACAATACGCAAGACAACAAACTAAAAGACGACTGCAAAACTATTTTTTACTGTTTGAGCTACTGCAGTAGAATTCTGCACATCATTGCACGACCCTATCGACGTACCGGCCAAAACTACACCGTGGTCAAGAAGGGGATCACGTAACAGAGAAAAAGAAAAATCTGGTGTCCCCGGTGCGTATCGAAATGAGATGGTTAAACAAGAATTACACTAGGATGAAGACGTGTATTGAGCCGTGGTTAGAGGAATTGCTGCTGAATTAAAACGATGATTTAGTGGAGACATTCTTGATCTGATGGAGCTTTGGGCAGGATTAAACGCTCGTAAAAAGTTCATTTATCGGAAACCTGACTCAATTTCTACAATTGCAAGCGACTACTACCCGGAAGACTTCGAAAATCAAATTGAAACTTTGAAGCAGGAGACAATCAGCTTCCGTGAATTTGCAATTAATGACAGTCGCTTTGAGAACACCAAGTCGATCAACCAACTTAGTGTCACAATGATGGCTACAGGTGCACATACAATATTTCCTACGCTGTACCGAGTGGTTCAACTAGTGTGTATGCTACCAGTGTTAATGGAGAGCGCTGAGCGCTCATTTCAGTAATGAAACGCGTTAAAACCCGTCTAAGGACGAAGATCGGCTACGAATGGCTATCCGATCTTCTACTTTTGAGCACAGAAAATGACCTCACTATTGGTATCAGCCGCGATGAAGTACTAGATCGATTCAGTAGTGCATCACAACGGCGAATTCCTCTATAAGTACCAGTTAAAGGGTAGTAATACACTGAAATCCCACAAAAGTTTATACTTTCGGCTTTTTTTGCTCACTTTCAAATTGTATTGGCTATTACTGTTAATTAATGTACAGGATACTCTTTTTAAATCGGTTTAAAAAACGAAAACAGAAACTTGTAAAAAAAAAAGAAAAGAGTTCCTGCTGACATAGTTGGCGACCACTGTTCAGGGCCGCCGAAAAATAAATGGCACTTGCAATAATGGTCATAAATATTGTTACATGATTTATGAGCCGTGAAAGTAGTACATTATAATTTATGACCCCAAATTACTATTTTCACGCATAATTTATGATAAGGTACTATTCATGCTTAGGTTAGTGTACAGAAACGTTTACCTTCAGTCAGCCTCCCCGAATCAACCATCTATCCAAACAGCTCTCCGACACATTGTCTCGTCACTTTCCAAGTTTCTCTGTCTGCTACAAGCTCTACACCTCATGCTAGCTACGCCTCGTCCCCGCTCAACTTTTTCAAACGCGCAGATTGCGGAGTACTTCTACTCACCGTGCCGTGACCAGTACGATGAATCCGTGCCGGAGTACTTTCGCTGCCGCTGCGAGAAGGTACGCAAGCAGACGAGCCGAAATGGCTTCACCAAACTCATGCAGCATGTGCACAGCGAGCATCCAACCTTCCAAGAAGAGATGCTCGCTGGCACAACAGCTCAGATCGGTTCGGTGGCACACGACGCTCGCCGGACGGCTATGAACCACTTCGGCTGGCTCGAGTGGATTGTAAAGGCAAATCTGCCTTTATGTTCTGCGAGAACGCGTTCGCTCGCCGGCACGGATTACCATTACTACTTTTTGATAATGGAAATACTAATATGATTATGTTTTTATAAGGTACACTTCCTTGGAGCCGATATCAGTGGAAACTCTGCGTGCACTGCTCGAAGGCGTTACGCGTTCTGTGGAAGCAGCTGTTGCTGCAGAGCTGCCGGACGCTTTTGGCATCATGTTTGACGGGTGGGCCCACTCATCCGAACATTTCGTCGCAGTATTTGCGTATTACGAAGGCAATGGCATTGCTAAGTCGGTGCTGCTGAGCATGGCCCCTGTGATTAACGAGCCCGACGAGGACCTGTCGGCCCATACCCACCGCGACGTTTTGGCGGAAATGCTCGAGCGAGATTTTGGTAAGGATTTAAGTTGCTGCAAGTACCTAGTTGGAGACAACTGTTCAATGAACAGGAGATTGGCAACCATCATGCAAGTGCCGCTGGTCGGATGCGCTAGTCATCGACTATATCGGGCCGTTCAGCAGCATTTGGCACAGAACGAGGACGATTTGGCTGTTGTGCAAGCCCTGATGGCCAAGCTGCGGACGATTAAGCAGTCGACAAAACTTCGGTAAGAACTATTGACATTAGTCTTGATATTAGTACTAATACTTTTTGTGTTATTATTATGCAACTAATATGATATTATTTATTTATTTTTTTTTTACTAGATTTAAGACAACACTTTGGCCAGCAATTCGGCAGGATACCCACTGGGGGTCCACCTTTTCAATGGTGCATCGCTACTTTGCTCTACTGGAGTTCCTGGACCTAGACGACGAAGAGCTTATGGACTTGCTGCCGCCTCCGGCATGCAACCGCCGGCTCAAGAAACTCTACGCAGATCTCAAGGACTTTGAGTCAGTGTCCAAGGCCTTCAAGGAGGAACGTGAGCCTACTGGACGTGCGGGTCTGGTTCGACGGGCTTATTGAAGCCCAGCCTGCGTTGGCTGCTTATATCGGTACGCTAAGCTATGATATTTTTGTTTTTATAATATTTTCTAACTAATACTGATACACGTAACTCCTCGAGCAAACATCGTTCACAGCCCAGACTTTGAGTAGGGGTGCGTCCGTGTGCTCAAAGGAAATGGAGCCCGCCTCACCGCGTCGAAGAAATGGGCTCTTCGTCCTTTTCTCCAAGTGGACCCTGCCCCGGACAACAATCGTGAAGAAGCCGAGACGCACTCGCTTGTGCAGCGGCTTGAGAAGCGGTGCCGTCTTGGAGCACGAGAAGCTCGGTACTGCCTCGTAGGCAGCATCCCCGCCACCTCGAACAAGGTGGAGCACTTCTTCAGTGTTGCGCGTGCAACTCTTGGACACGAGCGTAATGGCCTACAGCCCATTGCGCTCGAAATGGTCCTTTCCTGCGTGAAAATTCCCGCTTTTGGGATGGTTCTACTGTAGATCAACTCCTCTAGCTCATACCTTGCTAATCAATACAGTACGAGTTGATCACCATTATATATTTATCTCTAACAGATATTACATTATTTATGAAGTCGAATCGTAAGAAGACGTCACATTATTTATGAGTACATTGAGGCTTTCATTCATATAAATATCATAATCGGCGGCCCTGCCACTGTTATGTATATTTAAAAAAAAATATCCATCAACTTCCCCGCAATTTTTTTTAAATCTGGGGATTTTTGAAAAAAGGGCTTGCCTCCGCCCCTGATATGTATACACTTTTCCAGATCCGTGTAGTGTGAAATAGTCAACTGGGCTTATCCGGATATCTGCGCTTTTCTGAAACTGACAATAATTTCTTCTGGTCGATGTGAACCCGCATAAGTAGACACAAGTATGTTTAAGACTGGTTAAGTAGCCAGTTTTAAACACACTTCTGTCTACTTATACGAGCTCAAAGCGCTATTTAGCCAATCAAGTCGATGCTCAAATCTGTAATTATTCTAACGTGTTGATTCTTAAAACATACCATCGTGTGTATGCGCTGGTTCTGTGTGCACCCGAACCTGCCGCTGCAGGCGGAACTGCGCGTCCGCACGTCACCTGACAGTAGCGCCATCGAGCGTGCCCGCATCCCTCAAGGCCGAGCTATTGCTTCATGCTCTCCAGTATTCCAAGTGCCAGGAGATGGTGTCGATGCTGCACCGATCTCTTGGCTTCAAGTGGCGTATCATGATGCTCTATCGGGCGAGACGGAAGGAGGTTTTATGATGGCGGCACTACCCGACGGGACGCCACTGGTGACACCCTGGGAGTCTACAGACTTCTATAGCTGTTGTGAGGTGACAGACCCAGCCGCGCTCCAGTATGACGGCCCACACGAGACAGCGAAGAGCTTCGGGCCAGTGCAAAGCGTCAATTTTCTCTACTGCATAGTGGAGGAGGCTGAAAAGCGAGTCAGGCTTTTTCACCCAGAGCTAGAAAACGTATGGATCGAGAAGAAAGACGTGCATATGGTGTGTACGCGGTTCAAGCATGCAGAATGCAGCAGTACGAAGAGTGGGGTGGCCAACGATGACGTGTATGAAGAGCTAATACTGTTATTATGTTTGTGCTATGTGCATGTACAGCTCCGCATACATTTTTTGAATTAAGTGAGGCGCTACCAGAAGAAGCGCAAATTGCAATACGAGAGTACCCGTCGAAGGAGGCGCAGACTGTCGGCCTTCTTAGCCGAGGAGAGACGGTGGAGGTTACTGTGCGGGGTGGAAACTGGCTGCAAATTGCTGGTGGTAGTATTGATAAAGCGTGGATTATGTGGCGGACGGATGCGTTGGAACTGCTTCAAGAGGCGCCAGATGTGTGCTCGAGCACTTGCGTAACGATAGCGGCGAACGTCAACAGCCTTGCGGACAGTAAAAATCTAGCTGAAGCAAATCCCGATCAAAGCGGGGACAGTGAAGAGTCTACTCATGTTACTCCTGCTACCTCCACTGGATCCGTACAGGACGATGCTGACATGAACGCATCTGGTACCAAGTCTACGCCCGTTGAGCAGTCGTGGGATGTTCGATCCCCCTTAGCAGCTCTGAGTGCAGGGGTTGATAACGAAAACGATGGTTCAAGAAAGATGGTAATGGAGGTGGACGATATGCTCGTTAACAGGTGTAACAACGACAGCAAAACTCCTGTTCAGGCTTGTACCGCAGTTGCACAGGCTGAATGTAATGATGTTACTCAATCAGATCCGAAAGTAAACGAAAGTATGGAACGCGAGGAGGCTTTTACTCATCCTGACGAGCGTCCGATTCATCCGACGAGAGACGTGATTGAAGAAGAGCGAGCCGACGCGGCTTC